TTTTTTATTTTTATAAATAATTTATTTACTTACAAAAATATGAATGATATTTATAAATTTAAAATCAATAATAAAAACTATAAATCTATTTATATTTTAGGTTAAAAACACTTTTTAAAAATATTAAATAATAAAATATATAATATTATTCAAACATTTTATATTGATTCATCCTTTTTTCACCAGCTGTTTATCATTCGAAATTTTAATTAAAGACAACTAATCTTTATGATTTAAGAAACTTGCCTTTTACTTTGAATTTTTATGAAATTTTCATTGAGCTAAAAATTTTAAAATAAATCTGTGTAAATTTTAAATAAATATAAAAATAGAATAAACTTTTAAATTAAATTATTCTTTAAATTTATAAATAAAATAATATTAGTGCAATAAAAAAGATAAAAAAATAAATCAAATAAATTCAAAGAAATTTTTTTTATATTCATTTTTATAGTTTAAAATATCACAATTCAAAACAAATAAACTGTTTTTACTCAAGGTAAAGTGTCAAATTTGAGAGATTAATGCATTTTGCTAAAGCTGAACCTAAGCCTGATGCAGCTTCATCACCAATTTAATTAGACCTTTTTAAATATTGAAGAAAAAATATATCATTAAATAGTTAATTAGAAGGAAAAAATGAAGAAAAAATATGAAATAATAAAATTAATTAATAATAAAAGCAAATGAATAAAATAAATGATGAGCTTAATTAAAAAAGAAAAAACAAAACAGCAAGCACGATAAAAAGAAAAAGAAAAAAGAGCTTTATTGTTTTTAATTAGTTTTTATAATTAAAAATATCACAATCCAAAACAAATAAACTGTTTTTACCTAAGGTCAAGTGTCAAATTTGAGAGATTAATGCATTTTGCTAAAGCTGAACCTAAGCCTGATGCACCCATTGCACCAATTTAATTGTAACTTTTTAAATATTGAAGAAAAAATATATCATTAAATAGTTAATTAGAAGGAAAAAATGAAGAAAAAATATGAAATAATAAAATTAATTAATAATAAAAGCAAATGAATAAAATAAATGATGAGCTTAATTAACAAAGAAAAAACAAAACAGCAAGCACGATAAAAAGAAAAAGAAAAAAGAGCTTTATTGTTTTTAATTAGTTTTTATAATTAAAAATATCACAATCCAAAACAAATAAACTGTTTTTACTAAAGGTCAAGTGTCTATTTTGAGAGATTAATGCGTTTTGCTAAAGCTGAACCTAAGCCTGATGCACCTTCATCACCAATTTAATTAAACCTTTTTAAATATTGAAGAAAAAATATATCATTAAATAGTTAATTAGAAGGAAAAAATGAAGAAAAAATATGAAATAATAAAATTAATTAATAATAAAAGCAAATGAATAAAATAAATGATGAGCTTAATTAACAAAGAAAAAACAAAACAGCAAGCACGATAAAAAGAAAAAGAAAAAAGAGCTTTATTGTTTTTAATTAGTTTTTATAATTAAAAATATCACAATCCAAAACAAATAAACTGTTTTTACTAAAGGTCAAGTGTCTATTTTGAGAGATTAATGCGTTTTGCCAAAGCTGAAAAAAAGCCTGATGCACCAATTTAATTAGACCTTTTTAAATATTGAAGAAAAAATATATCATTAAATAGTTAATTAGAAGGAAAAAACGAAGAAAAAATATGAAATAATAAAATTAATTAATAATAAAAGCAAATGAATAAAATAAATGATGAGCTTAATTAACAAAGAAAAAACAAAACAGCAAGCACGATAAAAAGAAAAAGAAAAAAGAGCTTTATTGTTTTTAATTAGTTTTTATAATTAAAAATATCACAATCCAAAACAAATAAACTGTTTTTACCCAAGGTCAAGTGTCAAATTTGAGAGATTAATGCATTTTGCTAAAGCTGAACCTAAGCCTGATGCACCCATTGCACCAATTTAATTGTAACTTTTTAAATATTGAAGAAAAAATATATCATTAAATAGTTAATTAGAAGGAAAAAATGAAGAAAAAATATGAAATAATAAAATTAATTAATAATAAAAGCAAATGAATAAAATAAATGATGAGCTTAATTAATAAAGAAAAAACAAAACAGCAAGCACGATAAAAAGAAAATGAAAAAAGAGCTTTATTGTTTTTAATTAGTTTTTATAATTAAAAATATCACAATCCAAAACAAATAAACTGTTTTTACCCAAGGTCAAGTTTCAAATTTGAGAGATTAATGCATTTTGCTAAAGCTGAACCTAAGCCTGATGCACCCATTGCACCAATTTAATTGTAACTTTTTAAATATTGAAGAAAAAATATATCATTAAATAGTTAATTAGAAGGAAAAAATGAAGAAAAAATATGAAATAATAAAATTAATTAATAATAAAAGCAAATGAATAAAATAAATGATGAGCTTAATTAACAAAGAAAAAACAAAACAGCAAGCACGATAAAAAGAAAAAGAAAAAAGAGCTTTATTGTTTTTAATTAGTTTTTATAATTAAAAATATCTTGTTTTTAATTAATTTTTATAATTAAAAATATCACAATCCAAAACAAATAAACTGTTTTTACTAAAGGTAAAGTGTCAAATTTGAGAGATTAATGCATTTTGCTAAAGCTGAACCTAAGCCTGATGCACCCATTGCACCAATTTAATTTTCACTTTTTAAATATTGAAGAAAAAATATATCATTAAATAGTTAATTAGAAGGAAAAAATGAAGAAAAAATATGAAATAATAAAATTAATTAATAATAAAAGCAAATGAATAAAATAAATGATGAGCTTAATTAACAAAGAAAAAACAAAACAGCAAGCACGATAAAAAGAAAAAGAAAAAAGAGCTTTATTGTTTTTAATTAGTTTTTATAATTAAAAATATCACAATCCAAAACAAATAAACTGTTTTTACCAAAGGTCAAGTGTCAAATTTGAGAGATTAATGCATTTTGCTAAAGCTGAACCTAAGCCTGATGCACCTTCATCACCAATTTAATTGAAACTTTTTAAATATTGAAGAAAAAATATATCATTAAATAGTTAATTAGAAGGAAAAAATGAAGAAAAAATATGAAATAATAAAATTAATTAATAATAAAAGCAAATGAATAAAATAAATGATGAGCTTAATTAACAAAGAAAAAACAAAACAGCAAGCACGATAAAAAGAAAAAGAAAAAAGAGCTTTATTGTTTTTAATTAGTTTTTATAATTAAAAATATCACAATCCAAAACAAATAAACTGTTTTTACTAAAGGTCAAGTGTCAAATTTGAGAGATTAATGCATTTTGCTAAAGCTGAACCTAAGCCTGATGCACCTGCATCACCAATTTAATTAGACCTTTTTAAATATTGAAGAAAAAATATATCATTAAATAGAGTAAGTTGCCATACAAATTTACAAAAAGCGAGTTTAATATACCAGTTTTTATATTTTATAAAATTAAAATTAAAAATTTTTTTATGTGTTTTTTTCTATCATAGGTTTTCAAAATTTATATTTTTTAAAAAAAATGATATGTTATAAGAATATGTGGGTATATATAATTTCAAATTTGACATTTTCTGAATTCAAAGCTTTCAATTAACTCAAAAGTAAAGCTAATTTAAGCTAATTTAGCTTTATATCAAGTTATTAAGATATATTACATTTCGCCTTTTATAAATTAAAAAGGCGGCATTTCGCTCGTTAATTAGGAGGGAAAAATGAAAAAAAAAAAATGAAATAATAAGATTAATTAATAATAAATAAAATTAACAAAGAATCAAAAAATAAGAAATTATAATAAAAAGAAAAAGGTAAACAAATCAAATAAATTAAAAGAGCTTTAATGTTTTAAATTAACTTTTATAATTAAAAATATTAAAATGCAAATCAAATAAACTGCTTTTATTAAGTGTAAATTTTAATAGCAAAAAATGAAGAAAAAGTATCAAATAATACAAAATGAATAATAAATAATTAATTAAAAATTTAAATGAAAATTAAGTTAAAATAATAGCTAAAAAATTTTTGTTTTAATAAAAATCATTAAATAATAATGATAATTTCTATAATAAAAATTATTTATTTAAATAAATTGAAAATTAAATATACAAAAAATATTAATAATAATAAAAATAATATCTTTTAATTAAATATACTTCAGAGCAATATGTAGAATCTAATGAGGTAAATGTGAAGACCTTAAAAACTTTTTTTATAAATTAAAATAAATTTAAAGGATATTAATATAAAAATTAATAATTACTTCTTCTAATCTATAATATTCTTTAATCTATTATATCATTTATTTATTTTTCAAAAATATTGAATAGCAATTTATTAAATTTG